CAGCCAGTCCACTATGACATCTGTTTCTCAGACTATAAGTCAATCGCAAGAATCAACTGTAGATGTTGACCAAAATGCTGATAAGTCAAAAAGTAACCGACAACGCCTTAACCGGAAACAATCATCTAAACCCCCCTCTCATGTTGAGAGGCATGCAACTGTAGAGGTTCATAACTCCTTTGAACCCCTGGAGATGGAAGTGACCCAGTCTTCAGAAAACAAACCAAGGAGTCCTTCATCACGTTCGCGTGAAAGATCACCCATAGAACCTCCATGAGCCGATATCCGAATCTAATACAGTGGAATTGCAGAGGACTTAGGACCAATTTTAATGAATTACAATTACTAACACAAGATTTTAAACCATCAGCCTTCAGTTTACAGGAAACACATTTGAAACAAAATGATCAGTTCGAATTACGTCAATATCATTCTTATCATTCTTTTTCACACAGCCAGGCAACAGAGCCACTGGTGGATCTTCCATTTTGGTGAGACAGGGCATTATCCATAGGCCTGTTCCTCTTAAAACCAATTTCCAGGCCGTTGCTGTTCGTCTTACTTTTCACATATAACTATTACTCTATGTTCCTTGTATATCTCTCCATCTTCCACTCTTCAACAGTCCGAGCTTCAAGATTTATTTGACCAACTACCCAAACCCTGTATCATAATGGGTGATCTCAATGGGCACAACCCACTGTGGGGAAGTACTGCTACCAACAATAAAGGGAAAATTCTTGAGGATTTTCTCTCTAATAATAATTTATGCATATTCAACGACGGCTCTAACACATATTTACATCCTGCAACGGGAACATATTCTTCTTTAGACTTGTCAATCACTGATTCAAACCTTTATAACGAATTTGAATGGTCAGTCCATAATGATCTTTGTGGGAGTGACCATTTTCCCACAGTACTTACAGCAATTAACCCTACTGATGATCCGCCTTTAACAAGATGGAATTTTTCAAAGGCCAATTGGCCCTTATTTCAGACCACCTGCCTCGAAAGGCTGAAATCAGACCTTTTCATGGATGTTACTGATCCCATTCAAATGTTCTCGGATAAACTCAAACATATCGCTGATGAAACTATTCCTAAGTCCTCTGTAAACCCACACATACGTAAACCATGGTTTAATGACGAATGCAAACAGGCTAGGAAATGTAGGAAGAAGGCAGAGAAATATTTTCGCCATCATCCTACTGTACATAACTTAAATAATGTAAAAATCAGTTATGCTAAGGCACGACGAACGTTTAAGCACATTAAGCGTCATACTTGGAAAAATTACGTTTCCAAAATAAATTCCCGTACTCAAGGGTATGGAATATGATCCAAAAAAATCAAAGGCAAGGGTTCCAAATCGAGTAGTATTCAGCATCTCAAAGATGATAATGACATACTAACTGAAAAATCTGACATTGCGAACAAGTTGGGCGAAACGTTGGCTAAACATTCGTCCTCCTCAAATTATAATCCAAAATTTCAGACTTATCAAACACATCAAGAAAAGAAAAAAGTGAATTTTAAATCTGATAATGGTGAAGATTATAATGAGGTATTTTCATTACATGAACTTCACACTGCTTTATCTCAAGCTCATGATACTGCAACAGGACCTGATGATATCCATTATCAGCTCTTAAAACACTTGCCTGAATCTTGTCTCGAAACTTTACTTAACATTTTTGACCATATTTGGATAACGGGACATTTTCCTCCTTCATGGCGAAACGCCATAGTTGTTCCTATCCCAAAGCCTGGCAGGGATCATACAGATCCGTCTAATTATCGGCCTATTTCCTTAACTAGCTGTGTTTGTAAAACCATGGAGCGAATGGTCAATAATCGCTTAGTTTGGTTTTTAGAAACCAACAATCTAATTAGTGATATACAATGTGGTTTCCGTAGAAACCGTAGTACGATTGACCACTTGGTTCGTTTGGAATCATTTGTTAAAAATTCTTTTATCAAAAAACAACATGCTGTATCCATCTTTTTTGACCTTGAAAAAGCTTATGATACCACTTGGAAGCATGGTATTTTAAAAGACTTACATGTTTTTGGGTTGCGAGGTCGTTTGCCTCAATTTGTAACTAATTTTTTAACCGACAGACAGTTTCAAGTCCGTGTGGGATCAACCTTGTCAGACTACTTTAATCAAGACCAGGGTGTTCCACAGGGCAGTATTTTGTCCGTGACTTTATTTAGCATAAAAATCAATAGCCTTTCAAAAGTTTTAAGTGATTCAGTTGATGGATCACTATTTGTGGATGATTTTAATGTTTCTTGTAGAGGTAGAAATATGCATACAATAGAGAGGCAATTACAAATTTGTCTCAATAAAATTGAAAAATGGTCACTTGAAAACGGGTTTAAATTTTCTATAACAAAAACAAATTGTATGCATTTCTGCAGAAAGTATAAACCGCATAAAGATCCAGAATTATTTTTAAACGGCACCCCCATCAAAGTAGTAAAGGAGGCCAAGTTCTTGGGTCTTATTTTCGACTCGCATTTGACTTTTCTGCCACACATTAAATCACTTAAAACTAAATGCCTGAAGGCACTTGATCTGTTGAAAGTCGTTTCAAATTCTAAGTGGGGAGGGGACCAAACTACCCTACTACATCTATACAGATCTCTCATCCGTTCGAAACTTGATTACGGCTCCATCGTATATGGTGGAGCCTGTAAAAGCAACCTCAAAATCCTTGATTCTATTCATCACCAAGGTCTACGACTTTGTCTTGGGTCTTTTAGAACTTCTCCTATTGATAGTCTCTACGTTGAGGCTGATGAGCCATCTCTTAGCCAACGACGTATAAAACTCTCCTTACAGTATATAACAAAACTTTATTCTAACGAGTCTAACCCTGCTTTCAGCTGTGTCTTTAATCCTCTTTATGAGGATTTGTACAACAAGAAATCTTCTCTTGTTCCGCCTCTTGGGCTCAGGATTAAGCCATTCATTACTACTGCCGGCATTGAGCTGGAAAATATAGCTCCTTCCCGTCTTCTTTCTTCTCCTCCTTGGCAATTGGTAAGACCACAAGTCGACCTAACATTAACATCGTTTAAAAAGTCAGAAACTAATGACTTACAATATAAACAAGAATATAATCAATTAAAAAGTAAATATAATACCTACAAAACCTTATTTACAGATGGGTCCAAGGATGGTGGCGCGGTTGCTTGTGCCACTGTCATTGGGTCCAAAACCATATCTTCAAGATTACCCAATGACAGTTCAATTTTCACAGCAGAAGCAAATGCAATACTAACAGCTCTTAAATATATAAATAGACACCCTAAATATAAACAATATATAATATTTTCAGACTCTCTTTCTTGCCTTCAGGGTATCAAAAATATTTCTTGTAAACATCCACTTTTAATAGAAATTATAGAATTATATAATGATCTTGCAACTGGCCAATACGACATCGTCCTCTGTTGGTTACCCAGCCACGTTGGCATTTCTGGGAATACAATGGCCGATTTTGCTGCCAAGGCAGCACTCAACAAATCTGTGACACCACTTCTGATCCCATACTCTGATTATAAAGCTAGCATTAGAACTTATATCCGTGATCTGATGCAAAAGAAGTGGGACACCCAAGCAGGTATCAATAAATTACATGCAAATAAAACCAACTATCGGTTACACCTACTTGGGTTGTCAGTCCAGATTTGAAGAGGTCATCATACGACGATGTCGTATTGGCCACACAAGATATACTCATGAGTACCTATTGAAGGGCGAGGATCCTCCGTTTTGTATCCCTTGTGATGAAAGAATCACGGTCAAGCATGTCTTGCTTGACTGTGTTGAATATTCCATCACAAGGGATATCTATTTCACATCACGAACTATGAAGGATCTTTTTAGTACTGTCAGCTCTCATTTAATTATTGCATTTTTAAAAGAATTAGATTTGTTAAACGATTTGTAAATGGATAAATATTTTATCATTGGCAGTTTGAATTAGTAACTTAGATTGTTAGGGGCTGTATCCTCAAGGGGGGTTAAAGTACTGTAAAATTATTGTCCTCCTGAGAGGGTACGTAAGTCCCAAAAAAATTGAAGTAAAATTCTAATCTTCCACTTTTTTAATCGTAGTATTCTTGTCATTTTAATTTGTGGCTTAATTTGCTTACAATCGCCAGCGGCTGAAGAGATGGTGTGAATCCAACTAGGGTCCATGCAGGTAGCTAAGGTACTGTAAGTCCCCATGGACCCTGGTATGGTGATCTACCTTCAGCTGTTGGCGATCTATAGCCCGTTTTTATTTTGTACTGTCTATAGTGATTTAATTTTACGTTAGCGTACTAGTTTTAAATTTATAGCTGTGATGTTCTAGTATTTTTACTGTCCTTGATGACAGGTATTTATGTTCCAACCTCATTGATTTTCATATTTATATAAACTGGATTGTTCTCGTCACAATATTGCTGAAATATTGCCGATGTGACGTTAAATAATAACTCACCCACTCACTCACTCAAAACAATATAATTCTCTGTGGCTATTGAATCAGAGAGCACATATGCATTGCAACAACATTTTTAAAAACAAGGAAAAACGCCATGTAAATATTTTCATTGTATCATTTCATTTGAGGTCGCGAAACACGGTATTTTCAGTGTAAAATAGGGAAATATACTGGCCGTTTAAATCAGAAGTTGTGTATACATATGCGTTATCTGATATGTTACAGTCAATGTATACAATAAGGCAATGTGTACAATGACTGAAATCTTGTCTTCTCAATAATCCGTGTTCAACAATCAGTCACTCTGTACAATAATTGGGTTAATAAATCAGGCAATGTACACAATGCCTGGAAATTTTAGACAATGTACACAATGACTGAGTGAATCAGGCAATGCACACATTGACTGGTTATTTCAGTCTTTGTACACATTGCCTGATTGTAGACATTGACTGTAACATATATACCATTGACAACCAGATCGTGGTTCTATTCTCACCATATCATGGTACACACAACCGCTCCAATTAGGACAAGTACGATGAACACAACCGTCAACACAATGACCAGAACAGAAGGTGTCCTGTCAAAAGACGCTGAAAGGATAAACGGACACAATGGGACAATGGCTTTACAAACACCCGTTTGCTGTTGCTGTGTGAGCACTCGAGCACTTTACAAAAACAAATGATTCAATCTGGGAAATAACACTTAAACAATATGATTGACAAGTTCTATGTCCCGAGAAAAACGAGATCAATTTGTTCGTTTCTATTACCAGAGTTTCAAATTACCATGGCGTTTGTGTTACAAGGCTGGACGAACTGTTGTTATACTTAATAAAGAACGAGATGCACATCTTACCTGCTGTCGTGTCAACATTCTGCTGGACTGGTGTAGTGGACTGCTTATCATTTCGTGGGACTGTATACAAAGGGAAAATAAAACCCGTCCAGGTGAATTGTCTATTAGTAAAATGGAAATATTTTAGAGTTGGTTATACGAAGGGCAATCATCATCCCCAGCAGCAGCGTCCTCGTCAGTAGCATTACCATCAACCGTCAACACAATGACCAGAACAGAAGGTGTCCCGTCAAAAGACGCTGAAAGGATACACGGACACAATGGGACAATGGCTTTACAAACACCCGTTTGCTGTTGCTGTGTGGGGGGCGGTGGGGTAGCCTTGTGGTTAAAGCGTTCGCTCGTCACGCCGAAGACCCGGGTTCGATTCCCCACATGGGTACAATGTGTGAAGCCCATTTCTGGTGTCCCCCGCCGTGATATGGCTGGAATATTGCTAAAAAGCGGCGTAAAACCATACTCACTCACTGTTGCTGTGTGAGCACTCGAGCACTTTACAAAAACAAATGATTCAATCTGGTAAATAACACTTAAACAATATGATTGACAAGTTCTATGTCCCGAGGAAAACGAGATCAATTTGTTCGTTTCTATTACCAGAGTTTCAAAATTACCATGGCGTTTGTGTTACAAGGCTGGACGAACTGTTGTTATACTTAATAAAGAACGAGATGCACATCTTACCTGCTGTCGTGTCAACATCCTGCTGGACTGGTGTAGTGGACTGCTTAGCATTTCGTGGGACTGTATACAAAGGGAAAATAAAACACGTCCGGGTGAATTGTCTATTAGTAAAATGGAAATATTTTAGAATTGGCTATACGAAGGGCAATCATCATCACCAGCAGCAGCGTCCTCGTCCTCGAGATCAATTTGTTCGTTTCTATTACCAGAGTTTCAAATTACCATGGCGTTTGTGTTACAAGGCTGGACGAACTATTGTTATACTTAATAAAGAACGAGATGCACATCTTACCTGCTGTCGTGTCAACATCCTGCTGGACTGGTGTAGTGGACTGCTTATCATTTCGTGGGACTGTATACAAAGGGAAAATAAAACACGTCAGGGTGAATTGTCTATTAGTAAAATGGAAATATTTTAGAATTGGTTATACGAAGGGCAATCATCATCACCAGCAGCAGCGTCCTCGTCAGTAGCATTACCATCAAATACTAACACTACACGACAATATTTTGAACAATAGTTACAAACTTGAATATATATTTTCTGTCCGTTATGAAAGAGCATCATCACCACCACCATCATCTTGTACATATTTAGGCTACACGAGGTTATGTTGAACAATAGTTACAAACCTATTCCTAACAAGTAAAAGTTAACCTTCTTACGGAAAGAAATATGAATAGTACATGTGTAAAACAGTAAACATTATCATGACCGTACTGACACATGCGTTTATGATTCATTATTGTAGCATGTACAATTAATGGGACAAATCTGCGGCGACATGTACCTTTATTGTAACAAATCTGTGGTAACATTTACATTTAATGAGACAAATCAGAGGTAACATTTACATTTAATGTGACAAATTTGTGACAAAATGTTCATTTAATGAGACAAATCTCTGGTAAATTGTACATTTAATGTTACAAATTGCTGTTTTCTGTTGTTTGTTGCAATCTTCCAGCTATATGATGGCGGGCCGATAATAAGGAACAAGAAGCTATCACTCATGTGGACCAACCTTTATCCTTACAAGGAACAAGAAGCTATTACTCATGTGGACCAACCTTTATCCTGACAAGGAACAAGGAGCTATCATTCATGTGGACCAACCTTTATCCTTACAAGGAACAAAGAGCTATCACTCATGTGAACCAACCTTTATCCTTACAAGGAACAAGAAGCTATCACTCATGTGGACCAACCTTTATCCTTACAAGGAACAAGAAGCTATTACTCATGTGGACCAACCTTTATCCTGACAAGGAACAAGGAGCTATCATTCATGTGGACCAACCTTTATCCTTACAAGGAACAAGAAGCTATCACTCATGTGGACCAACCTTTGACTGAGCTTGTTATTGCAGTTGGATTTTTGGAAGTGATAATTCGACAAACGGATAGGAGATATAATATGATACGATATATCAGCGGGAAGTAGTACTCCAGCTTGATATGTGTGGTAAACTTAAAACAATAAAGTGTGATATTTGGTCATTTGTATCATCAGTGTTTTTATCATATCACAGACACTGTCAGTATCGGATGGGGCGTGACCACCATTTGGGTTGATACAGGCCTTGTGCGTATTGTGGATACAAAACAACAGAAAGCAACCTACAGTCGTTTCAAGTGTCATCCAAAAACTGGCAGCGCAGACCTAGCGTTACTGCCCAGTTCTGGGCCCCGTTTTAAAAAGCTCTCGTAGCGCTACGACTATTGTAAGTCAATGTTACTGCATAGGAGGTACGATTGCTACGAGACAATTTACGAGATCTTAGGCTTACGAGAGCTTTGTGAAACGGGGCCCTGGTTTGCTGGTCCTGTCGTTGTCGTCGGCTATCTCATCCAAGATTATGTTCTGTTGGGAGGTGGTTGGGAGAAAGAGCCGGTCATGGCAGTACAGTGATGATGTGCTCCCTAAGAAAGCATGTTGCAACACGTGAAACATGTATGTGGACATTATCTTGGTGGAACGAGGCGTTACGTTCCTGAATTTGTACATAGGGTAGAGCATGATCTAAAAAATCTCATCCCTGTAGCCTAGCCTATGCCATTCAAACCGCCACTACAACATTCCCAGGTTATTTACGGTTAAAAATTGGAATTTATAAACACGTGACACATAAACAACCACTGCGAGGTGATGACATGCGAAAAAGCACGTGAGTGAATATCGTGCTCCCAACAAACACGGACACATCCAAATTATGCGTCGTGAATTTTTAAATGCACAATCGGTCATCCAAATGGTGCATGTTTACAACGGGAATACAGCAACTGTGCATTATTTGATGTTATGCTACTTTTAATGCAAAAGATAATAACATGAGTTGTGGTGTTTTCCTTAATCAATGTTTCACACTGGGCAGCGTGACACGCCCTTGAAGAGATGTGATGTCAAAATTCAGTTCACAAATTCAGTATCGTGTGTTTCAACCATTGCCGTTGATGCAGGCTTGACAAGGACGACGGGTAGACGACACTAAGCGATTGAAGAAACCCTGGGGGAATATTGTCCTATGTAAGAACCAACGCTTGTCCCAATTTAGTTAACGTCAATGACTGATTCGGGTTTGACGTAAACGTCGCTCCATTTCATCCCAAGCTTGCTCGATAGGGGACAGGTCCGGAGAAACAGCTGGCCATAATCTTTCTGAGGCGTGAAGTTACGCCTCTGTCCCAGAATGAACGGCTGCACATGAGGCCCAATGATCTCATTCCTTTATCGCAGACCTGTCAGATTGCCATTGATAATGAGAAGTTGATGCCTCCCCATACAATAACGCCTTCGCCACTATACTGTCGCATGCTTCAGCATACCGTTCACCTCGCCCACTGCACACCCTTGCTCTGCCATCTGAGATGACCCAGGTAAAACATCGACTCGTCAGTGAACAAAACACGATCCCAATCTTGTCTCCTGTACCGAAGATGTTGTCTGCACCAGGCAAGACGTGCCTGTCGATGACGTTGGAGCAAAATTGGACGTACTGCAGGCTTGTGCTTAGCTACATGTGTATTTATTGTTATGTTCATACTTTTCAAATAACTCTTATTTTATGCAATTTAATGCTATGCAAAGTTACTTTTTTTCAATTAGTATATGTTTTGACAGAGCCATCATTGAAATTTAGGCGTATTCAAAATGGAAACAGAAAAGTCATAGGCACTCACCTATCACCATCAAAGTGACGTTATGGGAGTCAAACGTGACTTCGTTCTTTCCAGTACATCGATATGTTCCTACGTCCTCTTCAGACACGTTCTTGATAGTTACGGTGGTATAAGATAGCTGTACACGAGTAGTGTTAGTCACTTGCTTGTCGTCACGGTACCAGGTGACTACTGGAACGGGTCTGTCAAACAATCACTGGACATATACTAACCTCAATTTGAGGGGTTATTGAACAAAAACTTGAAGGTGTACATCATTTAGTGCTGATCAGGTAGTTATATTCCATTGATTTATCCACCAGGGTCCCCGTTTCACAAAGCTCTCGTAAGCCTAAGATCTCGTAACTTTCCTCGTAGCATTCGTACCTCCTATGTACCTCCTGGAGGAGCGGTGGGGTAGCCTAATGGTTGAAGCCTACGCTCGCCACGCTGAAGACGCGGGTTCGACTCCCTTCATAGATACAATGTGTGAAGCCCATTTCTGGTGTCCCTCGCCGTGATATTTCTGGATTATTGCTGAAATCGGCCTTAAACCATACATACTCGCTTCTGAACTAGAGATTAGAAAGACCACCTGAACCACCGTATCTGTCATATATTTGATTATGTAAAAAAACACATTCAAGAGTGACGATAAGTATTCACACGATTATAAACTCTATATAACAAAGATTTAAGAAGATTTTTATCACGTTTAAGATTAGGTGAATTAAATATTATGAAGAAAACGGGTTAAAGAAATAATATCCCAAACGAATTAAGATTTTGTCCATTTTGTAAGAACATTTTAGAGATGAGGTTCATTTTATGTTTATTTGCCCACAATATAATGATTTAAAAACAAGATATATGTTAAATATTGACTGTAAAGAAAGAAATTCTCTAATTCGTCTTCTTCAAAATGAAAACAACAATTATTTATATATGTATGCAAAATATATTAAGGAAGCGTTTATTATTGTAATAATATAAAAATATGTTTTACTTATTGTGCAAATCATTCCTTTGATATTGCATTATACATTGTACATGGGCTTTCTTTCTTCAGCTGAATTATTTACTTTGATTGACATGTGTTTGTGACTTTTTTATAATGATTCATAAAGTCATACTTATGATGTAGTTTTGACGCTACACACAGGAGAGCTATTGTAGCAATATGGAAATAATTTGTTGGCTTTTATTATTATAAATTATTCTACCAGCAAGAGCAAAGATCGAGTAATACATACACCCACTACACACAAGAGTTTTCTGTCAAACACACTGGATGTATGAATAACTTATACCTGCCACTGAATATACACTGTTGTGTGACGTCATGACCAAGAGAAACATTTGTTGCTTCAGTAGAGTAGATGAGTTTGGGACTTGTTTTGGTGACGTTACCTGCAGACAGAACACCATGAGAAGTAAACCTAACAGGACTGGCATAAACCTAGCCGTTACTGTGTAAAGTACACACCAACCTTATTGGTTGACAAAGTAATAGCAGAATATAGACGTACCATAAACATGTTAACGATGATAAACATAGCTCACCTGAGTTTGAATACATCACTATGTGGAAAAATTCGCAATTGTGGTAAATGAACTTGATTTTTAGAATTCGTCCTCTTATTGCTCTTATAACTTTTAAGGTAAGTGAAGAATCATTTCGTTACTTAGGTTCTGAAGGATAAACCTACCGTCCCAGAAGATCAAGATACAAAAAGACATGAAACCAAAACACTTTTTAAATGTTTTTCAGCGTCCATTTCAATGATTACCAATGAACTACCAACCACATCAATGATTGCATTCCAGCTTAAATAAGCCGATCCAATCCATCCCAAGCTAGATATCTTCACCGAAAAAACAAAAGCTACAGAAGGTCGCATGCCACCCTCAAGGAGAAAATAGGTCGCTTACTAAACCCCAAACTGTTCAATGGTCAACCATGAATTACGTACCTTCCATGACGTTCAACGTGACAGGGTGGACAAGTTTCACTCTGCTGTTACTGGAAATCCCGCATCTATACTCTGCAGTATCTGACACATCCACGTACGCAAAGTGAAGATCCCCTTCAAAAATTAAGCAAACCTTCAGAAAGTGATTACATATTTAATAAGGGTATATATATGAGAAAATCACTTTTGGCGTAGCTTTCAACAGCAGTCCAGTTATAGCATGACATGCAAGCTTGATGTGGAAAGCCAGGAATCACTATCATTTCAGTGAAACTCACAAGCACGGAAAAGGTTCTGACATAACTAGAAATATTATCTGGACGAACCGGGATTCAGTCCCACGTCCACAGGTTTCTGCATGGGCAAGGGAGGTAACTCTGTAACAGCTAATTAAGGCGCCTTACTCAAACAGGTCGATCAGTATCCCCCGGGAGTTATGTAGCAAATGGTTCCAATATATTATTTCGGTAACTTGTTGGTAAACTACAGACGAAGCATTGCATTTGTTCTAACGCTTTGGGGTGGTATGGTAGCCTATTTATGAATGCATTCGCTCGTTACGCCGAAGACCCGGTTTCGATTAGTACAATGCTTGAAACACAATGTTTGTGTCCCTCGAAGTGATATTGCTTGAATATTGCCAAAAGCGGCGCAAAACTAAACTCACACGCTCTAACGTTATGGGGAATACGTTCATAGGTTGCTCACCATGTTTGTCCATTTGTCTTCTGCGGTCAGCAGAGATCTGCTTACTGCCTATAAACCAGTCGTGTCTTCCTGGCTCTCCACAAGTCAGTAATACAGACTGACCCTCTGTTACATTTTGTGTCCTATGTCCTCTGTCCTCTGAAAATATCCATGGCATGAATTGAAGTATTAGATTTTAGACTAATTTTAGTATTAGCCTTTCTACTGTACAGTCCGTTTGTGACAAAATGATACCGATGAATTGCAATCAAACACAAAAACAAATAGACGTGCATTAGTGACGTCAGAGACATGTGATTACTGCTGATTGCCAAAGTGAGAGAAAATGAAAGTCTATAATTTACAAAGTCTATGATTTCTTCAAGGATGAAAATGACGGGGTGACCCAAGTATGCAATTACTAAGTACATTCAGCGAACTGCCTGTGCAGCTGGGTCACGTGTCATCTCGCCAGCTCAAAAATTTGTTGAGAACCCGTTAACGCACGTGCATCTCGCTTTTCGCGCTGTTCCTTTAGTTGCCAATGCGCCCTTGTAACAAACTTAGAAAACGCACAAATAAATGATGATAGTTTCTTAAACAACTTTTTCATTTTGTGACAAAATTTATGCAATTTTTTCTAGAGTTGGTCTGTTGTTTATATTGCAGTCCGCGTTGGTTTGATTCTTTTATGTCTTTTGTTTTTGTGTTTGATTGCAATTCATCAATCATTTTGTCTCAAACGGACTGTAATAAGGTTCCACCTTCCAAACACGATCCTTGGTTACAACGGTATGTTGTTAATCACCACGCCTATGTGTCATTCTTGTAACTGAATAAATAATGACATTTTTGTTGACTTTTATTTCAGTATGGTGTTTGGCAACTTAGATCGTTTATTAACGCTTCAATTTCAAACTAAGTGTCATACTTTTTCTGTCTTGATCACTTTTGATAAAAACGCAAATTGATTTGAAAATAAGTTTTAACGACTCAGTAGTGCCTTGTAGAGTATACATGTATGTCGATCACTGTCACTGTGCTTTTATTGCATCAACTACGACAGTGCCCATGACAACGGCTAGTTTTGAAATCTCAAAAGACATTGAAATCATCTCACCGCCACGGTATCCGCTCATTATTGCTAAAACAGTCCAGATCAGCTTTGTTCCTCGCATTCTATAAAATACGAAATATAAAAAGTAATATACTATACCAAAAAAGAAACGCATAGGCGATTTGTATTTTAAAAATCTATTAATTACCTATCGTCAAAATATGTAAAAAAAGTGATAATAACAGGATTTTGCCTAATTCCACAAGTAATAAAATCGATTTTACCTGAAAATGTTGATTTTGATGAGATTTCTTACAAGGATTAAAAAGGCATCGCCACAACGCAACAGAAATCACCTTCCAGTTGAAATTGTACAGAAAGAGCATGCACTGTCTGACTATAAAATTCCAGATTACTTTTGGAAATTGGCATTCGTTTTGAAGGAGTTTCAAGGTCAAATCACTACGCCACGTCTTGACTCTGCGACACGGAACATCGCCATTGAAAGAATGCACGCTGGAGATTACCAATCTTCTGTTGCCAGGCGTCTGAATGTTAGTCTGAGCACGATATCACGGCTTGCAGCTCGTTACAACCAAACAGGTATAACAAATGACCGTCCCCATAGAGGCAGACCTCGAGTCACCACTGCAGCCCAAGATCGGTACATCCGGGTACTACATTTGCGTGATCGTACTGCCACGGGTGAGAGCACAACAGCCAGGGAGCCTGGACATTGGCGGATATCCGGTCAAACTGTACGGAACAGGTTGAAAGAGATTGGTCTGAGAGCCAGGAGACTCGACGTCGGGACCGTGCTACGTGGTCACCATCGCGCTCAACGTCTCCGTTATCTAAAAGTATCCACTTGGTTGTATAGACATTACCTTCTTCTAAACTGGTGTAAAAAATTATGCAATAAAGTCTATTTGTGGACGAGTTATACATGCTTGAAACTACAACATTTTCGCAACAGATTTCTGGCCTATGCGTTTCTTTTTTGAGATAGTATATATCGTATATCTATTGATGGCGGATGAGTAATGATAATGACACACATTATACAAAACTCCTGGAATCTTAATTTCGTTTTCCAGTAGATTTTGCATCATGACGATAATACACTCTGAGAGCAGATAAATATACCAGCATAAACACACAAACACACACACACACACACACACACACACACACACACACACACACACACACACACACACACACACACACACACACACACACACACATATATATAAAATTGGATACTTACATTGGCCTCGTGTTACTGGGTTCACTCTCGGTGTATTACAAACGATGGAACTGAGGAAGAACGATTGAAATCGTGAAATCGTGTTTCCGTTTCTGGGTCTCACATCTGCACAGGGAAAAGAAAACTCAACACAAACAAGAGAACAGCCATGCTTCTACTCATCCACACTTGAAGTCAAGTAGTTTCTTAGCAAGTGCATTGTAACCACTGTCGAAGTGAAAATAAACCCTTTAAAATACTAAATATCTCTAAATATTGGATCTAAGAAACCAACAAGGAAATTAACTTGAAATCGATTCTAGTTTAGTTTTTCCATGCAAAGGCAATATTAACAAATATCCATGGTTCCTTTCATGATGTGACTACGTGTATTCACTGTATGGTTGTCAATGAAATATTTGCACGAATGAACATCTCACCTGTCAATATATCGGCAGTTAAGGCAAAAGTGAGTGAGTTTGGTTTACCTCGCTTTTAGCAATATTCCAGCAACATCACGTCACCATAAATAGGTGAGTGAGTTTAGTTTTACGCCGCACTCAACAATATTCCAGCTATATGGCGGCGGTCTGTAAATAATCAAATCTGGACCGAACAATCCAGTGATCAACAGAATGAGCATCGATCTACGCAATTGGGAACCGATGACATGTGTCAACCAAGTCAGCTAGTGGCACCCCACGAGTCTCTCTCAACAACACAAGCATCTGAATAACGTTCCCAACGGCGTCTCCAGACTCTCACGGCTGGTGACCCTCGGTCTTCACTACGTGGTCAGTCATCTGCAGAGTCGGTGGCCTGGTACCGTTGCCGAAGCCTGTATATGGTTCTGACGTGGACTTGAAAGGCATTGGCAATCAGCCGGGCGGTTGCTCCAGCTTACAATCGTCCAAGGGCAAGGTTTCGCTGATATCTTGCCAATCTTGGCATGTCGTAGCAATTCAACAACGAATGAATGTTCTCCGTTCTGGGTGGATTTTTATAGGGCAAGAAATGGGGAAACGCAAATACATTTCAATTTGCATGGAACGCACATGCATCAGGTTACCATGGCCGTTGTCGTATTCCGTTTGGGTGATCGGAATTTATGCTCACCTGCTTTGTTGCTGGTCATTAAATAGCAATTTTCCTGACGAGGTAGTCTACAGTTAATGGTCTTTGACAACAATAATACCGAGACATTTCAATGACAAATGTTCATGCAATTTTACTTCGGGTGACGTTTCTTTGCGGTTCGGTATAGTTTATTTCCGTAAAATACTGTTCCGACACGCAAACATTTGGATCAATTACTGTCCCGTTTGCTACATGAAACGACCCCACATATAGAAGATTCAAGTGTTAATGAGTGCGATGGAAATAAAATTGATTATTCTACTCATGGTATATTTGAACATGGTTTTACATCCATGGGACAGTACGGCCCGATATATAGATGTCTCACGTGTTAATGTGTGCGCTGGTAATAAAACTTAATTATTCTACTCATGGTATATTTGAACATGGTTTTACATCCATGGGACAGTACGGCCCGATATATAGATGTCTCACGTGTTAATGTGTGCGCTGGTAATAAAACTTAATTATTCTGCTCATGGTATATTTGAACATGGTTTTACATCCATGGGACAGTACGGCCCGATACATAGATGTCTCAAGTGTTAATGTGTGCGATGGAAATACAAATTAATTATTCTACTCATGGTAAATTTTACATCCATGAGACAATACACCACTGTTATAGACCCGTGAAGATCGCGGAAAGAATTGATCTTCAGTAATCAATGGTTGTCAGTTTTACATATTGTATTGTAGTCACATCCTACTGGGCAAGGATTCTCCTTCTGGTTGTCCACAGATGTAACCAATGTATTGAGGGGTAATAACGACTTAGTCAACTGGAACACTGTATATAGTTTCCCTTTCTTGTTCATCTTAGCTATGGATCCATGAAGATCCGATTTAGAATTGGTCTTCAGCAACCCATGCTAGTCGTGAGAGGCAACTAACGGGATCGGGTGGTCAAGCTCGCTGACTTGGTTTGCACATGTCATCGCATCCCAACTGCGCAGATCGATGCTCATACTGTTGATCACTGGATTGTCTCGATTATTTACAGACCGCCGCCATATAGATGGAGTGCAGCGTTAAACAACCAGCCAATGCTGTACCGTGTAAGTGATGGCACATTGTCCTCACAAACATGGTGGAGTGAAGCAACGCTGACGTCATAGAGAGTTCAATGGGTGACCCCAACTAGCAGGGCCCTTGTCCTTCTCCCCATTGCTCTCTGGATACCGTATTTTACCATGTCTTTTGTAAAGGTCACCACAGTTTGTACAAGTTTATTCAACAATAGCTCCAAACATGAAGAACAGTAAACATCAGTTTTACTATCATATCTTGATCACGTACATGGATATGGTCAGAGATCAATGCTTTATCGAGACAAAACCATCATACTGAATGCACTGAAAATGCTTAATTATTTACATGTTAGGGTTGGAATGTTATATGTCACGGCACTGATATTCTGGTGTCCCCCGGCCGTGATATTGCTGGAATATTGCTAAAAGCGGCGTAAAACCATATTCACTCACGTAACAATAACAGATGTCTAAACACAATATTGGAAAAAAGTGTAATGACTATTGAATGAAATTGCAACTCCTTAACGTGTCCACGTGTTTGTGTATGTGAGATAGAGAAAGAGAGAGAGGGAGTGAGAGAGAGATGGGGAGTGAGAGGGAGAGAGAGAGAGAGGTCCTTTTTATCGTAGTATAAAACCGAAACCGAGGAAGAGTTGAACTTTCATGAATCATTTATCATTTAACACTTGACGTGTTCACATTTGCTGCAAAGCTTTCTTTTGTAATAAAACTATTTCCATATTAAAAACAGTCTGCAGCGTCGACTTACGATTCCAAATATATATTGTGGAAATATCCACAACATGTCAACTACACAACATTTGAATCGCCTTGAATGTTGTAATCAGAATGGAACAGCTTTTGAGCTAAGAGTCCTATTTCATTCTTTGAAACCTTCACGGGAAGTGCATACTCGATTCTTCCCCCAACAATCGTGAAAGGCGGCATAGAACGCTGTTCACTCAGTCATCTGATCATCCTCTGCTAGTACTGGTTGCAGGTGGTCGCTCATATGCATTAGTAATTTCGTCCTCGTTAATCGTTGAATAATATGGAGCTTGGTCATCACGTTCTGTCACCTCACCGCTGAGACTGAAACAAGCGATTTGCAATTAGACAAGTTTCCCAACTGTACATATGCATGCACTGGTTCGAGATTCAAGGCCATAACTAATTTGTCTAGAACCCGTAAAGATCTGGATTACAAATGATCTTCAGTAACCCGACTAACGGGATCGGATGGTCAGGTTCTCTGATTTGGTTGACACATGTCATCGTATCCCACTTGTGTAGAACGATGCACATGATGTCAATCACTGGATTGTCTGGTCCAGACTGGATTATTTACAGACCACCGTCATGTAGCTGGAATATTGCTGAGTGTGGCTTTTAACAATTAACAAAGAAACAAAACGAACTAATTTGTCTACATAAATCTTGAGCAGACTGGATGGATGTTTTTGGATGCGTTAAGTGTGTTGAAGCAATAGCGTCCATCCAATGTTTACACATTTGTACTGTTTACGATCGGATACAGTTCCATGTGGATCAAAATCTCACTTGCCGTCTCAAAATATTTTTGCTATCTTCAACAAAACATAACTCACCCGTATTCTCCTTTTCCTGAAAGTACAAGTAGCACACTTTGAAATTTGCCTAAATGTAGACATACGTCAAGGAGGGGAGACAACTTTCATTTGTCTTATTTCTTGCCAGGTGGGCTGTTTTATAATTGAATTGTAATATTTTACCATCTTCTACTAAAGTGATAAGTGTGTCATAAATAGGCTGTATTGCTTGGATGATAGCCCCTTGACAAGAAGGGTACTTATGTTAGTAACGTTATCTTATACTTAGGTAACTTATATTTAATATATGTTATATATGACAATGTAATTACACCGCCCAACACACACTTAAATTGTCTTTAACTCGTAATATCCTGAAACATCGCCAGAAAGAACACTGTCAGTTACTGTGTCGTGAAGAATTCTTTTAAACCTTCCAGGCAAAGCTTGTCACCTTAGCTCTATCTTTTCGCATCATGTAGTCAGTGGGCCTGTGTAATTAAGAATCAACCGTATTACAAAAAATGATAACGTACAATGATATGTTGCCGTTTATCCGCATTGTAGGATGGGCTAAATATTCTTCAACATATTTACCATTTTGGAGACAGCAACGATTGACGCAAGCTGCTACAGAAGATACTAGCGCAAGGAAAGCAAGGCAGGAACCACTGGTGATGGCGATCACTGTATATATCGCTGGCACATCTACATCATCAGCATCTGTACCTTTATCGTTGTAAAAGAAAAACATACATTTTTATAATGACTCAACACTCCAGAATGCGTGTGCCTCTGAAACATCGAACAGTACAAACACGGATGGGACATTGAATAGTCGCCGCACAGAGAACCTTCTTAGTCCGAGTCCTGTTGGTGTAAAACTTCACAGGGCTATTTCGTGGAACTACCAAATTGATTACTCTGTACCTGTCTATGTAGCAACGGCACTGTACGTTATTTATAACGGTATTACCTGAATGTGCAGCGCTTCACTGTCTACACGGTTCTACATAGTGCTGCACTGTAAACGTTGGATTCAAACTACTGGTTATTGAAGTTAACTAAGGACATACCAATTTAATTCACATATTCAATCCCTTGAAATTAAACAAATCTGACGGAGTGGATTAAGGTTACATTCACAATGACGTGATCTCACACGCACACACACATATGTGTGTGTCAGCTTAATGTTGGAGCCAAGCCCGAAGTGCTGAAGGTCTCTATTACTACCGTGAAACCCAAGAAAATGTGTAAGGTGTTAAAAAACGTAGAACTCTAATCGGGGCGAACCGGAATTTGAGTCCACTCTGATATTCACTCACCCTGTTTCAGGTCTGTTGTCATCTCATCACTGTGCAGTGCAGTTGCAACTGTCACGGTAGAACCGGTTTCATCTGTAGGTACACAGAGAGCAAAAAAGTTATCTGAAATATTCATCAAACCAAGCATTTGATAAGATAGTGTTAGCTATATTAGCAGACATTCTGAAGTGAAGGATGACAGATGTCAGAACACATCGTCATCGTTTATCTTCCACCAAACATCTGACTGTTAGTGATTCGTCGTCCACAGACACGTGCCCTAAACATGACTGAGATTATTATTTGTGCATAAAGGAACATTGATACCATGTATAAAAATATCATTAAAACTATTCCAAAATTTCAAGTGCAACACATCACATATTACAGCGTATTCCGACAACATATTATATCTACCAATTTCTTACTATGACAGGGTTGGAGACTTAACATTTAGCAATGCGCTTTCATTCGCGCTATAATATTGAACAACCCGCGACCGTGCTTGTTATCTCTTCGGAGTCTAATTAAAGCATGTATAAAAAATGATATGTTGAAAAACTATGTAAGATGCGATGTGATGTGGTGATAGTCTTTGTGTGTGGGGATGAGCTTACTATATACACACCAACACACACAGAAAGCCATGTTTACTTGTCCCTTATTTAATTCATAGCAATATTTCTACGAGGTCTTAATTACATTATTGTTTCTTCTTGTTTAATGCAGCCATATTACAGCGAAATGATGGACCTAGATTTTCGAAGCTCTCTTAACGCTAAGATAGTCGTAATTGCCATACGTCAACATTAACTTACGACTATCTTAGCGCTAAGAGAGCTTCGAAAATCTAGGCCATGGTCTGTAAGTAACCGTTCAGGTCTGCCTTACTTTGATCCTGTTGTACGGATACCCGTCAAGAAAAACTTGAGGTGTACTCTTCTGTGATGTAACGGTGTACCCTTCTGTCATGTAACGATTTCTACCTTCTCAGTCCAGCCATATTGCAATAATTACCTAATCTAGGGCTGTACTTTTTACATCTAACATTAAACAGAAGAAAGTACTCTATGATTGTAGTAGTTGATGGGATTAATAACAGTTAAATACAACAGTTTATACATACTTTACTGTTTTAATTATCATAGCTATTTGAAAGGTAGTCCACTAAGAGTATCAAAACAGTTGAAACCTTGTGAGGAGATTTTCAAAGGAAAACATATGATGTATCTTCAAACTTAATCCCCCTTGTTGAGTTGATATTATTTGTTGATCAATACAAGCTAGGTCCACTAAGCAGGAGCACTAATTAGGACTGTTCCATTTCAGCCGTGGGTGTTGTCTTAATAAATCTCCCTCATTAGTGTCTAAGAAATGGTTGTCTAAGATATTGCATGGGTGTCTAAGTTTTGGGAGACAACCAGTCTGGACCATTCACATCATACTCATCGATGTACGCAAATGGAATGGCGACAATGAGTTATTCGCATCTTGCGACCAGGTCAGTTGTAAGCCACATCTCCACGGGTGTAAGTAACGCTCTACGCAGTATTCCCGACTACATGTCTTCATGATTTCGGAGAGACAACATGTTCGTATAATAGTAATTAAAACTGCACTCATCGACTGATCTATTGTATCGATATTGGGAAGTGATAGTTACTTACCCGTCACAATCAAAGTGACGTCATGGGAGTCAGACGAGACGCCGTTCTTTCCAGTACATCGATATATTCCTGCGTCCCCATCAGACACGTTCTTGATAGTAACGGTGGTATAAGATAGTTCCGCACGTGTAGTGTTAGTCACTTGCTTGTCGTCACGGTACCAGGTAACTACTGGAACGGGTCTGTAAAAACGGTAGCATTCAAATCTAAATACATATTACATTGTGAACCTTGACTGAAACCATAATCTTATCGAATTTGTCGCAAGAAAAACAGTTCCTGCGTTAATAAATGAGCTGGTGACAAGATACTGTATGCGATGTTGTGTCGTATATATTTTTGTCTCGTAGTAAAAGCTTATTCCTTATATAGTCATTATTATTTATGTTGTTTCGAACAACGGATGACTAGAAATATGTCCTTGGGTCCAAAGAATTCGACATGAATGTACCTTTTTTGTAGTGTTTGTACTTTCGGTTAATGAAACAAATGACCATTTCAGAGAAAGAGTGAGTGAGTGAGTTTAGTTTTACGCCGCACTGAGGAATATTCCAGCTATATGGCGGTGGTCTGTAAATAATCGAGTCTGGACCAGACAATCCAGTGATCAACAACATGAGCATCGATCTGCGCAATTGGGAACCGATGACATGGGTCAACCAAGTCAGCGAGCCTGACCACCCGATCCCGTTAGTCGCCTCTTAAGACAAGCATAGTCGCCTTTTGTGGCAAGCATGGGTTGCTGAAAACCTATTCTACCCCGGATCTTCACGGGCCTTCAGAGAAAGAGCATTTCGTTATGAGCACCTGCCGCTGAAGATACACTGTTGTGTTACAGCCTGTCCTTGTGTAGCGTCCGTTGTCTCGCTCGAATACATGAGTACTGGGCTCGTGTCTGCGACGTTACCTGAAACAAATACCATCAAGAACAGTAGCTCGTGCAATTTCCCGCTTCGCATGCGTCATTAATCATTCACTTGTGTGGCAACGTTGCACTTTTGTGTCAACAGCTGAATGTTTCGCCAGAATGGAGGAAATAGTTTCTGTTGACACTTACTATATCCCGTTTGGCGGTTGGGATACTAGTAGTTAGAACTTTCGCAAGTCACACCAACATCCCCAGGTTCAAACAACCACATAGGTACGATGTGGGAAGCCCAGTTCTTGTGCCCCTCGCCGCGATATTGCTTGAATACTTGCTGAAAGAGGCGTAAACCACACTCACTTATTACTATATCATATGTGTACGTTTTGCTGAAACTTTGGTTTGAAAATACTGAGAAACTCAATGGTATTGATTAATGTACCTTTCGTGACGTTCAGTTGGACCGGACTACCGAGTTGTATGGTAGACGAGGTGGTGACGCCGCACTGGTATACCGCAGTGTCCATGATGTTAACATATAAGAAGTAAAGTGTTCCTGTAACATACAGAAAATCCAATTACATTATGCTGTTAGAGTGAGTGAGTGAGTTTAGTTTTACGCCGCACTCATCAATATCCCAGTTATATGACGGCCGTCTGTAAATAATCAAGTCTGGACCAGACAATCCAGTGATCAACAGCATGAGCATCGATCTACGCAATTGGGAACCGATGACATGTGTCAACCAAGTCAGCGAGCCTGACCAGCCGGTCACGTTGGTCGGCTCTTACGACAAGCATGGGTTACTGAAGATCAATTCTAACCCGAACCTTCACGGGTTTAGTGTTAGAACATTGATCAGGTTAAATGAGGTGAGTATTGGAAGTTTCCAGGTGTTTATGGTAATAAATATGCTATCTAAATGCAACTAAAATACATTTATGGCAAAACTCAGACGAAATGTTTGTTTAATATGTAGCTTGTCCAGAATTAATTATGCTTATGGGCGTTCCTCTTACTGTTGGGCTGTTGTGATGATTTGGTAATGATTACCTTTGGCGGATATTTGTATCCTGGGGTCGACGTTGAGCTGGGAAACATGTCCTCCTTTAAGTCTAAACCACCCAACATTCCCTGGGGGGTGGTTTGCGGCAGGTGAGTGAAACCGGCTGTCCGTCAGTTGCATACTTGCTGATCAGGGGAGCTCGGTTCTTCCATGACTGTGAGTTAGCTGAGAGAAGTAATGGAATAAACATGAAAGGGGCGTATGTAGGTATCTACATGTATATGTGTATCTGTATATTCATAATATATGCACACAAACACACACACATCTTAATAGTCTCCATGATATATATGTGTGTGTATACATATATGTATGTATGTATGTGTGTGTGTGTGTCTGTATAATGGAGACTATTGATATATATATATGAGATTTCTGCAGGTGCATAAGCCTTACATACATAAATGATAAGTTTAGTTGTTTCTTTTTTGTCAAAAGCTCCTGTATCTGCACTATAATATTTCGACAAGGAAATATCTGGACTCATTATTATTTATAAACTCATCTTTTATTTATACATGTATATAAAATATATACATATATGATTGCTTGTTTGTTTAGCTTGTTAGTTTAACGTCGCACTCAGGAATATCCTAGCTATATGGCGGCGGTCTGTTAATAATCGAGTCTGGAGGAGACAATCCAGTGATCAACATCATGAACATCGATCTACGCAATTGGGATACGATGGCATTCATCAACTAAGTCACCGAAGAAGCAAGATGACTAAGAAGAATGCTGCACCAGAACCTACACAATTATTTTACTAATACGTACTCTATCAAATGAGCAATTTTCAAAACTCACTTCATATCATATCATTCATTCCATGAAACAGTTTGATGAAATATGATGACATTTCCGCTTGACTGAATTAATGCATGCCTTGTTTGCTTTATTGATCCATCAACCAAACAAGAAATCTCGTTGTATCCATCGAGATTCTCTGTCCCATTATGGGATTCTGTTCCGGGCTCTGACGCGTAGTTCATATGGACAGAGGTAACTTCCGTCAGCAGGCCAACAAAATAATCATGTCATCCGTAGGTAGAACTAAACACCCAGCTAAATACCTAAGGCAATGTCAAGGCCTTTCTTCACAGCAATGTATCTAAAGCATCGAAAACGTAATTATCAGGGAATGCAAAAGTTGTCATTTTCCAAAGAATGAACCATGTTATATATCCTTGTATACTGAGTCAAAAAAGAAACTTCACATTCTTTCTTCAGGGCACTATAAAAGAACAAGAGATGGTAAGATGGTTAAATTGTTATTATTTCATTGCTGAGATCTGTGAGATGTACTCGATACACTGACAGTGCCATAATCAGTTCCATTAGGCTACACCGCCGTTCCAAAACATGGGTATACAGAATGTCAAGTCACAAGAATAAAAATGCGAAATTTCTCAGTTCAGTATCGTGTATGGCCGGCCCGCGCATTCACCACTGCCAAACACCGTCTCCTCATCGACTGCCTGATGCTTGTGAACACGTGGTTCGGGATTCTGCGCCATTACTCTTGCAAGGCAGCGCCAAGTTCCTTCAAATTCTGAGGTTGGTTCCTAAGACCACGAAGCCTTCTCCCAAGTGAATCCCAAACGTGCTCTATTGGATTAAGGTGAGGGGACCTTGATGGCCAGTCAATGACGTTGATTCCAGCGTTTTGAAGGAAATTTCGTGTCAACATCGCGGTATGCGGCCGAGCATTATCATGCTGGAACTGTAGACTTGGGCCATGAGCCGCCATGAAAGGAACGAGTTCAGGGGTGAGCACCTGGTCGCGGTAAGCAGCAGCTGTGAGGTTTCCACGGATGACCAGAAGTCGGGAACGGTTGTTCCCACAGAAAGACCCCCCACCATGCAACTTCCGCCCCCGAATCTGTCGACTTCCTGTACACAACATTGGGCATAGCGTTCACGACGTCGTCTCCAGATTCTATGCCTGCCGTCCGCGAATCTGAGGGTAAACCTGGATTCATCGCTAAAGACGACTCGATTCCAGTCTCTCTGGGTCCATCGGAGGTGACGTTGGGCCCACAGCAGATGTTGACGTTGATGAAACGGCGTCAATATTGGCCCACGATATGGACGTCGAGAATGGAGATTGGCAGCCCGCAACCGATTTCGAATGGTCTGTGAGGACAGTCAACCTCTAAACATCTCAGCCCTGGTTTGTGTAGCCGGCAGAAATCTGTCACGTAGGTGACGTAGGCCGATTTGACGGTCCTTTGCTCGTGACGTCACACGTGGACGACCCGACCTTGAGCGATCAGAAGTGGTGCCAGTTTGTTGTAGACGACCTCGCAAGTCATACACAGTACGACGGCTGCATCCCATTGCTCTTGCTACGTCAATAACTGATCTTCCCGCTTGCAACATGCCAACGGCACGTTCACGTTGCACATTTGACAATCGTGGCATTTCAAGTACCGTTAGAACTGTGGTTTAAAAGTGTTTTTTCAATTCTTGAGGCCAATGCAAACACGTACATATAAGGAAAACTTCGATTCGAAGATCACGTGATCAACTGCACGTGCAAAACCTGATTTGGCACTAACGTCATTTGCACGACGAATGGATGGGTTTGAGTGGGTTTTGCTAACGTTTTTTCTAGAGTCGAAAGATAGGGATCCGATTTCGGATACATAGATGTATCATCAGAGAAAAATTATTCATTATTTTTCAAATTACATTTTGTGAAGTTTTTTTTTGACTCAGTATATAAAGCTACAAATGATGACATACATGCTGCAAGAACAGTTACGCGAATCAAAGCGTTCTACTCACCCACAATGGCATATACCGCTGTATACACCAATACTGCCAAGCGGATTTTCAGCATGTTTTTCCTGAATGCTACAAGTAAATGTACAAACGATCTAAAGATGTAAAGTTATTGTGTTTTCATCTCCGAATCATTTTGGAATACGTTATTGACGCTATTATTTAGAATAGATGTTCGAAACAGGATTGTGATCAATACATTACGAGATCACTGGCATTGATCGGATCAATATATTGCAAAACGCAATGAAGGGTACGAAAACAAATTGTTGACGTCCAAGAATACGTTAATGCTAATTTATTCACATCATGTTACACACAGATGCCGCACACAATAATGAAAGATCCAAGCCAAGTTAAGTTGAGTTGGGCTTTACGTCACATCGGCATTATTCCAGCCATACAGTGACGAGAACAAGTCTGCATTAATAATCATTGTAGGTACAGAGTCAAAATGAGTTTTATTTCAAAAACATATACTCATTACATTGTCATTTAAAGGTCACATGCAACCAAAAAATCAAACATAATTAAAACACAATTATCACTTAGTCATGACATATAATATACATTGCTGGTTATGAAAAAACATATAAACAAAATTATAAGCGTACAATCGCAAATCAAAAGTGCAATATTGTGTACTTGGGTTTACTTCCCAAGAACGAAGCAGCCGGGATACCGAACCCAGTCAGAGCGGGTGGGTGTGCACTCAAGTGTAACGGCTGGTTCATTTGCATATGCCCCCACGGCTTATTTTGTGTGTATATGTAGAGATGTTGGGTTTTGTAAATACATGCTCATTTTTTTGTGTATAACATTTTGCAATCAACAGACATCAAAACATGTCATGTGTTCAACTATCACACCTGCCTGTCTGTGTAATTACATAATGTGACAGAGACCGAACTCGGGCCATAAATCAATGCATTTTGTTTATGGTGTATAGCCTGATTGGTGTAAAGTTCAAATTGCATGTGGTCAGTGACAGCAGCTGTGTATTGAATATTGTCATTAGCAGACAGGCAGGCAGACACACAGGTGTCAATAAAACAAGACATTGAGTTTTGTCTGTGACGACATATCTATATCACAGTTAGAAATTCTGTCAACGCTAAATAATGACATTGCTTTTAAGTATCGAACTGAGAAAGTGTCTCGGTAAGAAGAACGTGTGGTGAAATTATATAAACAGTTAATTTAGTGTCATAACATACAAAAAGCTCGCCCCTGTGAGATATCAACAAAACATTAGAAAAATAGCTCACACCAAAGCCTTCACCGAGTATTCACGGGACAACCAACTTCCAAGCTGCGCGAACCTATTTCACTGCGCACGAAACCCGTTTTCCCCAGAAAAGTCTGGGGAAAATTAGTGAAACGTTTGAGCTCCGATTTCGCGCGTGTTTTTTCATCGCGTTATTTTTCAACTTTATAAGTTGAATTTGCATTTTTGACGATTTGTTTCGGTAAGTCCATACCGAAAGGTATCAGAATCTGCAAAGTTGTGTTTTACGTCGCATGTGACCTTTAAGGACAGAAAAAGGCATAGCACTAAATTTAAAGGCAGGTAATTTGTTAGTGACATTACACAGTTACAATTTATGATACAGATCAACTTCCCTCAGGTAGTTCACTATCAGTTGAGCGCTCACGCGGGAGAACAGATCTTTCAGATTTGTTGCATCATAATGTGAGTCCCTTGCAGACGATAAGTCCACACAGTCAAGCAGAATATGCTTCATGGTGAAAACTTCATCGCAAGAGACAAACATGGTGGTGGTGGTGGTGGTGGAGGTGGTGGTGGTGGTGGATCCATCCCCATCAGTTTTCAGCAGATAGTCAAGTGAAAACCGCCTGTGGCCAATACGACATCCTCGTAAAATTACCTCATCACGTCCCAAGTAGGTATAACCAATTGTTGGCTTCAGTTCGTACAGTTTATTTCTTCCTACTTGAGTGTCCCACCTCTTTTGCATGCGGTCCCGAGTATAGCTTTTGATAGTGGGTTTGAAGTCACTGTACGGGATCAGCAGTGGAGATAAGGGCTTGTCAAGAGCTGCTTTAGCTGCAACATCGACTTTTGTGTTACCTGCTATGCCGACGTGACCCGGCAACCATCAGAGTACGATGTTACATTGGCCAGTAGAAAGGTCGTTGTAAAGTTGTAAAATATCCAGAATGATTGGGTGACTTGAAGTAACGTTTTGAAGTGCTTGAAGGCAAGATAATGAATC